ATACTACACTTCTGCACCTTGCGTGTAGATGTTGGCTACTGTTGTTGTTGTGTTCGATGGGAGTTGGATTTGAAGATGTACCCGTGTCTCTGTTGTAGCTGCCTCTTGTTCATGGTAGTCGTAGACTTATAAAACTATGTTTATGTACTTTTCAAATAGAATATGTATTTACTTCATATCAGCTTTGTAAACTCTATTCTTAGGAGCTCATGATTTGTGCTACCTTTCCTTGGAAAATGTATAAGATTCAGAAAATCCCTTTTTTAATTGCTTTATTAATATTATTGGAATTGGATAGTTATTACAGGGCTTACTTAGCGGGTTGGTTTATGTGGCGTCACGTCTAGTGGATTTTGGATTGTGACAAGTTGGTATCAGAGCTCTAGGTTCATAGGTTCTACAAGTCATGAGCAAGTGTCTAGTAGAGTCTTGTGAATCGGTTTGATGACGTCCATACCTATCTTCGAGAGGCTACAGGACATTTAGGATATCATCCCCAACTTTGTTTCCTCATCGTGCGGCATTGATTCAGCTTGAAGCGTAACTCTTTTAATTCCTCCCACGCATTCGTATGCACACACAAGCACTCTGTATCAAATGTGCATTGACGGCTTGTGATTCCGTGGATGAGGTGCGAGATGTGATTTTGGTGTGCTGATGATGGGCCAGTCTAGAGGACTTATGGCCGGGTTTTGACTGTAGCTTGAGCATAGAGATGTTGATTGTGTGAGCACGTGCTTTTGGATTTATATGTTCGGTGGTGTCCCTATTAGTAGGATTTGTGATTGGGTGACTATGTGGAGAGTATGACGTGACTATGAGATATGTACAGATTGTTCGAATGTGACGAGAAAAGTTTACTTGGGAGGTAGAAAGGACTATTGGGTGTTTGGTTTCTGTCTTGATGCGACGTATGGTTCCGTGTTATGAGTGTGTTAAAGGATCTTTCCTGTTACTTAATGCCGGAACGAACTAGGTTCTCGTGTGTTATTGTTGAGATCAGACTCAGGAAGATTAAGCGATTGCATAGTAGTTGTGGTTGTGAAAGGGTATGAAGAGATGTCAGATTGAGGCCAAACAGGTGGGTTATCTCCTGCGGGGTGTCCTGAGGTTATGTGATCCCTATGTTGGCGTGTAGAGAGTTCCTTTTTGCCAGTGAATTATATGTGTTGCAATTTGAGTTTGGATCGCTTATGGGAGCTGGCTTGGCTGTTACTAGGGTGAATGCGAGATTTGCAGATGATTTGAGGTACTATGTGGGTTGTGTATGTGAGCTTATGAAGGATTCAGTTGAATTTCACTACGGTATTGTGGCAGTAATAGAGTATGGGCACTTTGAGTTATTATGTGTTTTGATCTATGGCTTTGAGCCAAGTGGGGGAGTCTGCTATCGACGAGTTGATTGCACGGTTATGTGTTGTATTGGTTTCGGTTCAAGGTATACTTGTGAATCAGTAATGACTTGCAGAGGTGGAGATCAAGGATGACTCTAGTAAAGGAACTTCCGAATACAGGTCGTATTACACTATATGTGTATATGGGAATCATGAAATAATTGAATGGTTATTCGTGAAGGGTGTAGTGTGCATGGAGTAGGAATTTGCTCGGTTGCGTAGAGGTGTGGTTTATTTCTTAGGATGTTGGTGTGCAAATGGGGCACATGTCGTTCGGTCTGTTTGGTTGGTTTAATTGAGATTTGAGCAGAGTGGAAGACTCTTGAGAATGGTTCTAGTGGGTGTAAGATTTAAGTGTAGCAATTGGAGATTTTCAAGACACGTATATGGCTAGAAACTGAGATTTTTATTTGATGGTGTCGAGACTTGTGGCATTTCTATATCCGTATGGATCATACAGTTCAATATCAGGAAGGTAAAAGGAACAACTTTAAATTCACAAAAGGTCTCTTCGGAGTGGGTATATTGGCTGTGGTACTTTTGGGGTGCTTAAGAGAGCATTCAGCGGCTTATGGGCTTTAAGGCATGTGGTTTTATGTTAGGACCTCTTGTGGTGAGTTTTGGTTGAAGATCGTAGTGTTCTAGCCAGGAGGAGTATCAATTTGAAGGCAGTTCGGGAAGAACTTGGAAAATTACGATGGCTTGATAGTAGGTTGGATTAGTAATGGATATAATCGATTCCTTGGGTACTTACGATGTAGCTGGTCTCTACTGGTGCTTTATGGCAATGCTCTTGGGTTTTGGCAAACCTGCATGGCTTGGTTGAGTTAGAGAGATTTAGTTCTGATGGCTTAATTATGTGCTAATGGGTTTCGAAGAGTTTTCAATGGTTGCTACCATGGTTCAAGGTGTATATTTCCTACTGGTGAATGGAACATGTTGCGAATAGGGATTTTCTCCTGGATGAGATCAAATGGAAGGATCCTAACTGGTTGAGTATGTAGTTTGCTATGACTCGGAGTAGATTATGAGGTTTTCGTACTTTTCTTATGATGGCATGGTATATGAGGTGTGTTGAGTGGGATTGAGATTTGTTTGAGCAAGGTCACGGTATATTCTTAGGCAACATGGACGGTTTCAGATGACTAGGTGAATGATATTACTATTTGGTATTGCTTGATGAGAGTGTACATTTCAGAAGGGGCACTATGTTTTGATTTACGGATACTTCATTGGTATTGTGGTACACTCCTGGTTGATCGACTGCTGATATTCAAATTTTACTTTGTAGCACGGGAGAATTATAGAAGTATTCATCGTGGGATGATCGTGTTATGAGAGGTGTGGTAGACATTCGGGTAGTGGAGTTGGGATCAGATATAGTGATTCGTGTGTTCTATGGATTTGGAGACTGGGAGCTCTCAGGAGCAGATTGTTTTATGGTTGTGGACTGTGATATCGTGGCCCAAGCTAGCCAGATGATAGTATGTGTTATGATTCAGTCATTGTGGACGTTCTGAGGGTTATGTATCTAATTATAGGTGACCAGTGTTGATTTAGGGGTCCATTGGTAGGCCTAATTAGGATGTGTATTCTACACCGAGTCAGATTAGTTGGCTCCATACTGCTATTGTTGAGGGATGTGCCATTAAATTGTTGTGGAGCTTATTCGTGTTCTTAAATGATATATGGGATACTCTTCTATGCTATAAGGGGTTGCGATTCGTTGGTTATATGCACACACGGTGCAGTTGTATTTGTGGTTTATAGCGAAATTTGAACAAGATGAGTATTTGGGTATTATTGCATGATTGATTGCGCGTTGGCTATGTTCTTTCCGGATTATGGTATTGTGTTATTTGCTCTCCGTGGTTATTGATGTTGAGCAGGGTGGCTCGAGGTATATAATATGGACCAGCGTTTGGATGGGGTCATGCATTGTAGCGGATTTATATTGAGGTATGATCCTATGTGTTAGATTCGTGTGTTTTGGTTCTGCGGTGTGTGATGGGTTTTTCAGCATTTCGTGGTGGCGGTACTTGTTAATCTTGCGGGTCAGTTCTCTCGTTTGAGTCATTTTCCATGTTTGAGTACATTTGAATTATTGCGTATGGGTGCATGGATTGCACGGTTTGTGGCTCTAAGTAGTATTGGTGTTTCATGTGAGTAAAGTGGTTGGTATTTGATAAGGTGAAGTTGTCGAACCTAGAATGGGTGCTATCGAATCTGATTGCGGTATATTTGGAAGGATATTGTTACAGATTGGCTTAGAAATTGACTATAGTCTTATCAAAGGAGATAGAGTACTATGACTTGTTGATCTGATGAATTGTTACTTTATTCTGCATGTTTCTTTCATCATCGGCAGTGTACAAAGGTTTTAGAATAAGGTTTTGTTCGATATGAGGCTTATTACCGGTATTGGGTTGTTTTGAGCAGCTAGTGTGATTAGAAATCATTGCTACGAGTATTTGAGTTATGGTTACGGCTTGGTACAGCTTGTTCAGACTTATACAGAGTGTTGATGCGAGATTCTGATCTTATAGAAAGTTTCCAGATGCTTGAAATTTGATTCTAAGGCTTATGGGCTAGGTTTAATTAAGACATTTCAGTTATTTGTGTTATCAGACCTATATGGGATAGGGTGACGTGGGATCACCCCCGAGTATGTGCATGGTAAAGTTATACGGCGGTTTGATTTCCTTGGGAACAACTCTTGGCACGTTCGAGGACGAACGTATGTTTAAGTGGGGAGAATGTAATGACCCGACCGGTCGTTTTGAGCATTTGCACTTCGCTCGGTAGTTTAAGGGCATGAGTAGATCCATATGATGTATTATGACTTATGTGAATCGTCGGTTTTGGTTTTCAGGCTATTCGAAATCGGTTTGGAAGAATGAATTTCATTGTTGAAGCTTTAAGTTAAAAGAGTTGACCAAGTTTAACTTTTTGTGAATTTGACCCGGAAACGGAGTTTTGATGGTTCCGCTAGGTCCGAATGGTGATTTTGGACTCGGGCGTATGCCCAGATTTGCACTTGGATGTTTCTGAAAGGTTTCGACATAAATTGGCAAAAATTGGAACTTTGAAGGTTCGGAAAGTTCATAAGTTTGACCGAGAGTTAACTTTGTAGATGTCGGGTTCAGATTGTGGTTTCGGGAGTTAGAATAGCTTCGTTATGTCATTTGGGACTTGTGTGTAAAATTTGGGTTCATTCCGGATTGATTTTCTATGTTTCGGCACGAGTTTTGGAAGTTGAAAAGTTCAAAGTTCATTAAGTTCAATTTGAGGTGCGATTCGTCACTTTGATGTTGTTATGATTAGAGGCCTCGAGTAGGTCCATATTATGTTATGGGACTTGTTAGCATGTTCGAACGAGGTCCCGAGGGGCTCGGGCGTGTTTCTCATTGTTTTCGGGCTACTTTCCTTTATATTTGCACTGCTGTGTTCTGCTGGTTTCTGGTGTCTCAATCCTTCATCACGTTCGCATGGAAAGTGTCGCGAACGCGTAGTGTATTCTGATGGCAGCAGCAAATTGTTCTTTGCGATCGCAAAGTATGTCCCGCATTCGTGTAGAGTTGGGGCAAGTCCTCTTCGCGTTCACGTATGGAGGATCGCGTTCGCGTAGTGTTGAGATTGGCAGCTGGGAATTGGAGCGTTCTTCTATGCGATCGTGTAAGGTTAGTCGCGTTCGCGAAGCTTTGGCAGCAGTGTTCATCGCGTTCGCGTGGAGTATAGCGCGAACGCGTAGAGTCTTTTGTGGCAGTGTGAGTTTTATTCACCGCGAACGCGATGAATTTCCCGCGTTCGCGAAAGAGAAGGCATGGGCAGATTATAAAGTACTCTATTTCGAGGGGTTTCGGCCATTTTACATTTTGGGAGCTATGGAGCTCAGATCGAGGCGATTCCTGAAGCAATTTTCACCATATGAATTAGGGTTAATATTTTGTACTCGGTTTTGGTTATCTTTCATGAATCTATCTTTGATTTTAGCTTTTGGCTGATGAATTCTAAAGAGGAAACTAGTATGGTTGGACTCGTAATTGAATGGGTTGACAGATTTGTGAGTTTTGTCGGGTTCTGAGGTGCAGGCCCGGGTTGGGCTTTATGGCCGATTTTGGGCTTTTGATTAAAGATTCGACCTTTTCGATTGGGATTGGTTCCTTTAGCATTGTTGATGTATAGTTGTTTTTGGTTAGTTTCAAGCCGTTCGAAGGTCGGAACGCGCGGGACGGCGTTTTTGGAGCATCGCTTGGCTTGATCAGTATTGGAATTGGCTTATTCGAGTTAAGTAACACTTCTAAACTTAGTGCTGAGGGTATGAAACCCCGAATTACGTGTTATGTTATTAGTGCTGAGGTGATGCACATGCTGGGTTACGGGCAAGTGAGCGTGCACTGTGTGAATAGTGACTCCGCTATTCCTGTGGTACTGTGTTGTTACCTGAATTTATCTATAACCATGAAATCTCTATGTACTTGAGCTATTAAGTTGTGATACATGTTAGAAACCATGCCTAGACTACATGCTTATCTTGTTGGGACCCACTGAGGTCAATTTTTTTGCTGTTGAGCTATCTGCTTTCATTGATTTACATACTCAGTCATACGCATTCATAGGCCTATCATATCTCAGTCTCGGTTGTTATTCATTGATACATCATATCATCATTTTCGGGCTAGTTTCATGATTGTGAGCCCGTGAGAGAGAGACTGGAGAGATTGATGATTGAGTGAGGTCGATGGCCTGATTGTGAGGATATTATTACTATAGCACGTGAGTTGTCTGTGCAAAACGTGAGTTGTCCGTGCGGATCCAGATATTGATATATTAGCACGTGAGTTGTCCGTGCAGCACGTGAGTTGTCCGTGTGGATTATAGCGCTCCGGTTGTAGGAGGCCCCTCCGGAGTCTGTACACCCCTAGTGAGCGCAGTTGATTATGTGTATGTATATATATATATATATATATATATATATATATATATATATATATATATATATATATATATATATATGGATCGGGTTGCACGACGCAACAAGTATTGTACAGTGCTGAGTATTAGGCACGGTAAGAGAGAAATGCGAGACAATGAGATTAATGTGAGTACATGAGTTCATCACTGAGAGGCATTGCACTTGACATGCGTACTTGAGATACATGTATAGAGATGCATTTCCTTCCGCTGCCCGGTTTTGGTGACATTCATGATTTTACATGTATCTTGACATGTAGGCATAGAGATGTACTTTCCCCATGCTATGTGAAAATGAAACATCTACTTGTTGAAAGGTTTTGGGGGGAAAAAATTACAGTTTTAAAACTATCTCATATTTTTTCGACGATTTCAGTAAAGGATTTGAGTTTTCACTAATATACTTGAAAAGCGGAACTATTTTTTCGGGAAACTTATGAATAAGCTGAGCATTTTAAATTCCGAGTTACTTCTTTTATTTCTTGCCTTACATCGTTATGAACTGTTGTTGGATATTGGTGTTGGACCCGACCTTTGTTTTAGCTCGTCACTACTTTCAGCCTAAGGTTAGGTTTGCATTTATTGAGTACATGGGGTCGATTGTACTTATACTACACTTCTGCACCTTGCGTGTAGATGTTGGCTACTGTTGTTGCTGTGTTCGATGGGAGCTGGATTTGATGATGTACCCGCGTCCCTATTGTAGCTGCCTCTTGTTCATGGTAGCCATAGATTTATAAAACTCTGTTTAGGTACTTTTCAAACAGAAGATGTATTTACTTCATATCAGCTTGTAAACTCTATTCTTAGGAGCTCATGATTTGTACTACCAGTCCTTGGAAAATGTATAAGATTCAGAAAATTCCTTTTGTTTAATTGCTTTATTAATATTATTGGAATTGGATAGTTATTAGTTGGCTTACCTAGTGGGTTTGGTCAGGTTGCCATCACGACTACTGGATTTTGGGTCTTGACAAGTTGTCACTTGGGCCGATGTCCATAACCGGTATAAATCAAAAATTAGGGTCGAAGATTATCAGCTTGGGGCCCCTTCCGGGTCTGTGTATCCCGTCAGAACCATCGACGGAGTTAAGAGAAACATCAATCATGAACCGAGATCAAACAAGGATCGGTATCAGTCGTACAATGGAGGTCGAAGAAGCAGTGGGTCCGGGCTGAACCCTATGAGAAATGAAAGGAGAAACGACCGAGGTCAGAGCAACCGGGGACTCATGAGCAAAAAGAGCTTCGACAGGCCTGTCGGCCCTAAAGAAGCGCCAAGATCATCAGAGTGCAACTTCAACATTGATGTCGCCGCTATCGTATCTGCCATCGGACGGATCAAAGACACTAAACGGCCTAGACCTTTACAGTCCGATCCAACCAAAAGGGATTCCAACCTAATGTGAAAATATCATGGCACACATGGCCATAGAACAGAAGACTGCAGACAATTAAAAGAAGAGGTGGCCTGGCTGTTCAACAACGGACATCTCCGAGAGTTCCTGAGTGATCGGGCCAAGAACCACTTCAGGAATAGGGATTCTAACAAGCAGGATGAGCAGGAGGAACCTCTGCACGTCATTAACATGATCAACGGTGGGGTCGACATTCCCCAAAGGCCAATGCTGAAGCACACCAAACTATCCATCACAAGGGAAAAATGGACTCGGGATTATGTACCGGAAGGAACCTTGTCTTTCAACGACAAAGATGCTAAGGGGATCGTGCAGCCCCACAATGATGCACTGGTAATATCGGTACACGTAAATAAATCTCGAATTAAGCGTGTGTTAACTGATCCACGTAGCTCAGCCAACATCATCAGATTGAGGTTCATGGAATAACTCGGGCTACAAGATCAGAACGTACCTGCGGACCGAGTCCTGAACGGGTTCAACAGGGCATGCAAGACCACTAAAGGGGAGATAGTATTACCGGTGAACATCGCTGGAACCGTACAGGAAGCCAAGTTCTATGTAATCGAAGGGGATATGAGATACAACACTTTTTTTGGGAGTCCGTGGATTCACAACAAGAAAGAAATACCCTCGACACTGCACAAGGTGCTAAAATTCCCGATACCCGGAGGAATCAAAATAGTTTATGGGGAACAACCGGCCGCCAAGGAGATGTTTGCGGTCGATGAGGTGACCCTGACATCCACACTCTCAACATTGGAGGATCCAAATCGATTGGTCAAAGATGGGGCCACATAGCAATCACTAGTACCAGCCTCGACAAAATCGGAGGGACGAGGACGAATACTACATAGTCCCTAGATCTTTCATAGCCCTAGACGATTTCGACGCCACAAAATCAACGGTCGAGGAACTGTAGCAAGTCGTACTAAATGAACACTTGCCCAATCGAAACGTATACCTAGGCACGAGGTTAAACCCCGAGCTCAGGTAAAAACTCATTCAATTTCTTATAGTTAATGAAGATTGTTTCGCTTGGTCTCACCTTGATATGACAGGGATCCCGCCAGAAATAACCACTCACAGGCTAAGCTTGGACCTGAAGTTTCACCCGGTTAAGAAGAAGAGGAGACCCCAGTCCGAGGACAAATATGCTTTCATCAAGGACAAGGTATATAAAGTCCTTAAAATAGGGTCCATTCGGGAGGTTAAATATCCGGATTGGTTAGCGAACGTAGTGGTAGTCCCTAAAAAAGGGAATAAATTAAGAATGTGTGCAGACTATAAGGATTTGAATAAGGCATGTCCCAGGGACTCTTTCTCTTTGCCCAACATCGGTCGCATGATCAATGCCACGGCCGACCACGAGGTCCTAACTTTTCTCGAAGCCTACTCCGGGTACAACCAAATACGGATGAACCCGGGCGATCAAGAAAAAACCTCCTTCATCACTAAGTACGACACTTACTACTATAATGTGATGCCATTTGGATTAAAAAAAGCTGGTGCCACTACCAATGCATAGTAAATCGGATGTTCGAGGAACAAATAGGAAAATCAATGGAGGTTTACATTGACAATATGTTGGTTAAGTCCCTGCGAGCAGAGGACCAGTTCATACATTTATAGGAAACCTTCAGCATATTGAAGAAGTACAATATGAATCTGAACTCGGAGAAATGTGCATTCGGAGTCGGATTAGGTAAATTCCTTGGATTCATGGTATCCAACCGGGGAATGAGATCAATCCTGACAAGATCAAAGCCATAGGAGATGTCACAGTTGTGGACAACGTGAAGGCCGTGCAAAGATTAACCGGACGCATAGCTGCCCTGGGGCTATTCATCTCGAGGTCCTCTAATAAAAGCCATTAATTCTTCTCACTATTGAAGAAGAAGAATAGCTTCTCATGGACACCGGAGTGCCAACGTGCCTTGGAGGAACTCAAGCGATATGTATCAAGCCCACCGCTGCTTCGTACTCCAAAGACGGACGAGTAGCTATACCTGTAATTAGCGGTATCGGAAGTAGCGGTAAGTGGAGTCCTGGTCCGGGAAGACAAAGGTAAGCAATTTCCAATTGACTATGTTAGTAGGAATTTAGGCGAGGCAGAAACTAGATACCTTCACCTAGAGAAGTTGGCGCTCGCTTTGCTAAGCGCCTCTAGAAAGCTGAAACTGTATTTTCAATATCACCCCATATGCGTTGTGACTACTTACCCACTGAGGAATGTAATGCATAAGCCCAAGCTCTCGGGACGGTTGGCCAAATGCGTCGTGGAAATTAGTGGGTACGATATTGAATATTGAGCCCGAACCGCCACTAAATCTCAAATTTTCGCCGTCTTTGTGGCCGACTTTACGCCGGCCCTAATAACCGAGGTCTAAAGAGAGTTGTTGTTGAACTCGGGGACTTCTTCGAGGAGCTAGACCCTCTTTACAGACGGCGCCTCAAACGTAAAAGAGTCCGGGCTTGGCATCGTATTGAAGCCACCGACAGGAATTGTAGTTAGACAATCTATTAGGACTATAAAATTTACTAACAACGAGGTCGAATATGAGGCCATGATTGCAGGTCTCGAACTAGCCAAAAGCTAGGGGGCGGAGGTAATCGAAGCTAAGTGTGACTCCCTCCTTGTGGTGAACCAAGTTAATAGGACGTTCGAGGTCCGAGAAGAACGAATGCAAAGGTACCTGGATAAGTTGGAGGTAACATTACATCGATCCAAGGAGTGGACTCTACAACACGTACCTCGGGATCAAAGCAGTGAGGCCGATGCCCTTGCTAACCTAGGATCATCGGTCGAGGACGATGAGTTCAACTCGGGGGTGTCACACCTCCTTTTTCCCGAGGGGATAGGGAGTTTATTCAATTAATGTGACATTATTCTAAATGAGATTATTTAATTAATTCAGAGTCGCCACTTGGAAAATTTATGGTGTCCCAAGTCACCGATTTATTTTAAATCCCAAATCGAGGAAATTTGACTCTGTTTTAAAGTCTGCGAAACCAGATGACCGAGTAAGGAATTCTGTTAACCCGGGAGAAGGAGTGAGGCACTCCCACATTCCGTAGCTTTAGCACGGTCGCTTTGAAATCAGATACCTGGCTTAATTAACGGATTATTACGTGTTTTAGAACCTATGTGCCTTTTACCTTTAACCGCTTTTAAATTGCTTGATTATTCGTAATTATGGAATTATCTTAAAACGAGTCACGCATACGTGTACTCATTTCATTCGGCGCGTCAAGAATCATGTCACACGTACATGTACACAATTAATCACGCTTTATTAATTATCAAGATTATTTGGCCAAAGTCGCACAAACGCGTACCTCGAATTATTTTGAAAATCATAATTATGTCACGCGAACGTATACATAACTACGATAATTTATTTAAAGCACGCCTAAAGCATTCTGCGAATTTTCAGAGTTATTTTCCTAAATCTAATTTGAGATTATTGTAAGGCCAAGAGTTATGGATTATTGAACTATTGCGAAAAAGTGAAGCAAATCTATTATGGAAAAGTGGACTAGTTTGTAGCCTTATTAACATATGGACCAAGTAATATTCAATAGTACATTAATTTTGCCCAAATTTTAACACCTTTGCCAACCAATGCACCCATTATTCTCTTTTCGTCCAAACACTGCCTCCTCCCTCCCCTC